AAACAAGAATATTTATCGAAATATTAATATTTATTTATTATATTTCGATCATATTTATCGAAATTATCGTTATCGATTTTGTTCATGTAAAATCGTTTAAGGTTGTCTATAATTTATCGATTATGTTCATGTGAAATCGATAAAGGTTCTATCGTTTGTCGTTATCGATTATGTTCTTGTGAAATCGATTAAGGTTGTCTATCATTCTATTGTTTATCGTTATCGATTATGTTCTTGTGAAATCAATTAAGGTTGTCTATCATTCTATCGTTTATCGTTATCGATTTTGTTCATGTGAATTCGATTAAGGTTGTCTATCATTCTATCGTTTATAGTTATCGATTATGTTCTTGTGAAATCGATAAAGGTTCTATCGTTTGTCGTTATCGATTATGTTCTTGTGAAATCGATTAAGATTGTCTATCATTCTATTGTTTATCGTTATCGATTATGTTCTTGTGAAATCGATTAAGGTTTTCTATCATTCTATCACTTCTCGTTATCGATTATGTTCATGTGAATTCGATTAAGGTTGTCGATTGATTTGAATTCTGTTCTTGATTCTGTGTTAACGATGTGCATTGGCATTGGCATTGGGTGGCGTTTAGATTGATGTGCTATCGAGTGGTTTTGTGGTCTGTGTACTTGGTCTATCCGATCAGCTTGATCCGTGGTCACCAACTACTTCCATTTGTTGGTGTGGTAGCACCACTTGGAGGACAGTCCGGTAATGGGGTTCATCTGCAGTTGAATGATGCGGCGCAGCTGCGCCTGGCGGCGGTCCTCGGCATACGTCTCCGGCACGGGGTCGTAAAGCTTGAAGTAGTAGGACAGCGAAATAAGTAGTCCAATGGCGGCTGACCAAAAGCCAACGCCAATGACCAGCTTCCAGTCGGGCGTGAAGTGCTGAAACTCGGCGTAGGTCTGACAGAAGCTGTGCCGATACAGCAGCTTCTTGTCCTGGATCGATAGCGCCTTCCAGTCGCCCAGCTCCTTTTCGCGCACTGCGCACAGCTCGGGTGTGACCTCGCGGTAGCGAATCGCCGGAAACGGAAACTCCACGCAGTCGATGTAGATGGGATTGCCGTTCACGCCGTAGCCGACCACCTCGCGATCGCCGCTCATCAGGCGTGTACCGTCGTGATGGGTCCCACGACGCATCATTGCCATTACCGCCCCCCGCTGGGGAAGTACTTGCTGGAACTGATTATGGAGACGCAAGCCCAGCGCACGCATTACCGACATTGTGAAGGGACTTCGCCTGGAAGAGTCACCATTTTAGTCACCAGTTTTTGGTCGTGCTAATGTTGCTCCGTCTGCAGACATTTTGTGGCTTACCTGATGTTTGTATTCTAAATTCTGTATTTTGTTGCAATAATTTATAAGTTGGAACTTCGACTTGGATTTTGATTTTGATTTGCTCCTTCTCGCCCTGCCTGACGAAATAAATCTCACAGCCGCCTTTTTTATACTATTTATACTTTTCTATTGGACAACAGACAGCTGTCGACTAGGGCTGGGCTCAGCAGGCTGGAAATATTTTGTTCCTCTTTAACACCTTTAACACTTTAACCTTAACACCTTAAAAGCCAAATAAAATATTGGGATATATTAGATTTTTGGTAAAAGTGGATGTGTGTAACGTCCAGAAGGAATCGTTTCCGACCCCATAAAGTATATATATTCTTGATCAGCATCAATAGCCGAGTCGATTGAGCCCTGTCTGTCCGTCCGTCCGTCTGTCCGTCCATCTGTCCGTCCGTCTGTCCGTCCCCTTCAGCGCCTAGTGCTCAAAGACTATAAGAGCTAGAGCAACGATGTTTTGGATCCAAACTTCTGTGATATGTCACTGCTACAAGAATATTTCAAAACTTCGCCCGAAATATTATTTTTTTATCGAATTATTAATATTTATCAAAATATTAATATTTTTCGAAATATCAAGTGCTTGTAATATATCGATTTATGGAAAAATCCATCCTTATAGAAATATCTGTTGTTGGGAAAAATTAGCTTATATATACCTAGTTTTAAGCAAGAGCACAGATACCCTACATAAAGAAAAAAGAGAAAAGAAAAATGGCCACACTATGAAAAGACAAGAAGAAAAATGGTCACACTATGAAAAGACAAGAAGGTCACATTAGTTTGAGCAGTCGAAAAAAGAGCGGGGAGAAAAGACGAAGCGTGCGTAGATATAAGAATAAAATGTATTAACCTCCTTTTGCAAATAGGAAATAAAACGCAACCAACGCCTAAGTACCTATGAAGATAAGCGATTGTGTTTTATCCGCAATTCTCACGTTCCTGGACTCAACAATATCGATATAGTTTTTGATACAATGATTAATCAGCTATGATTCTGAATAAACTATCTGCATATTCGACTACCTTCTGCAATATCCGATAGATCCCTTGCGCCCCCCTCCCAGTCTTAGTCCCTAGTATTATGTGTGCTCTGTTCATAGCCCACTCTCGAGTCGTAATTGCTTGGGCCACAATTCTTAATTTAGTTGTGCTACTTAAGCAGTTTAATGCCTCTCCTGTTCTGCAGGCACTGCCCCACCTACTGCCCCAGCCCCCGCCCACAAAGGACAAATTAATGACCCTCGGACGCGACTGAGGCTGTGACTGCGGCTCTGCGGCTCTGCGACTCGGCGGATGCCCTCGTCTAGCTGGCGCTGAATTTATGGGGCAAAAAAGTTTGCGGCAAGACGGAAATTGCGGCCAGTTGGAAAGTCAAGAGACTGCTTCCTCTTAGAGGGGGAGATTCCCTTTGCCGCTTATCGCGTTTTGATTTTTAATTAAAGCAAAAGTATTTCACATTCAGAATGGAATTTCGTTTCGTTTATTTGCAATTAAATTAGGCAAACAACATTCCTTGAGTCCTGAATGCAAATCCAATTATCTCCCAGCGAGAGATTGAGATACAAATGTGAATAAAGTCATTTTCCAAAAATACAGAAAATTTGAACTTTTTGACAACTTTTTGTTTCCTTCACACAAAGTTCTGGGCGAAACTTTTTGGCCCAAAAAGTTGAAGATGTGTTCTGTCGTGTAATAAGGTCTGGAATTATTGTGTACTTGGGGGAGTGGCTACTTGAGGAAAGGACGTATCTGCGATATTTTTTGGCCATAAATAACAATCAGAATGTAGGAACTTGGCAAATAAACGAAGAGCAGAGAGCTCAGATACCGCCACAGATGTGCCATGGTCTGTGGAATGCTTAACTCATTTACAATATTCAAACAAAGGAGGACTCCACATTGCGTATGATTTACAATGTTTGAGCGGCAGGCAGGACTCTGCCAGGACTCTAACCACTCCTTATTTGCTCTTCAAACTTAAGAGAGAGTACTCTCCGGAGAGTATGCCCGAAAACTAAGCTTCTCTGCTCGTGCTGTTTGCTTTGCCTGTGAATGTATCTCAACTGTTGCCCAGGGCCCGGGGCAGAAATTCATTTGAGTTTTGCATAAATAAATGCCGAGGAAACGAGTAAACAATCCACAGACGGTAGGCGTTGATGGAATGCGGCACTAGATACATAACTCAATTTCCACGAATACAATTAATTCAACTAGTGAGCCAAGGATTATAGCGTCGAGGCGCCGGCAGAGAGGCGGTGGCTGGTTTCCTAATTACTTTGCTAATGATCTGCATAATAATTTACTTACACTTGAGGGCATCATATAATTGAAATTTCCAAGAGCCTGCCACCATCTAACGAGCTTGATTATACCCTGCCCTTAATAGAGGAGCAAGCGAGAGCTAAAAAGTCATGGCAAGAGGATATGCTGGGGATGGTAAAGGGTTCGGCCATGTAGATTAGATCTGTCGATGACTCGGGGCATATTTGATCTGAGTTCAGCCCATCTTAATAGATTGATCTACATCGAAGGATCTTTGTTTATCTAAAGATCTTAAATTAGGGTTTTAAATGGTATTTTTAAATTTATGAAATTATCGATTTTTATCGAAGTATATATTTTTTAGAATATTAATAATATCGAATAATAAAAAGGTATCGATATAATCAACTAAATTTCGTTTAGACGTGGCTATCGAGATATTATCGATATATCTAGATCAATCAGAGTATAGAAAATTTATCTAAATTATCGATATAACTAAATTAATCGGATTAGCGAAATATATATAAATTTCCGATATGTCTAAATTAATCGGATTATCGAAAATTATCGATTTATCTAAATCAATCAGAGTATCAAATTTTATATGAATTTTCGATACATGTAAACTAATTTTACCGAAATTTATCTAAACTAACGAAATCTTTCTAAATTTCTAATAAATTCAGATTATCAAAATTGATCGATACATCTAAATCAATCAGAGTATAGAAAATGTGGCTAAATTATCGATATAACTAAATTAATCGGATTATCGAAAACAATCGATGTATCTAAATCAATCAGAGTATCGAAATTTATCTGAATTATCGATATATGCATGTATCTTAATTAATCGAAGTATCGAAATTTGCCCAAATTATCGATATACCTACATTAATCAGAGTATCGAAATGTATCCAAATTATCGGTATATCAAAATTAATCTAATTATAGAAATGTATCGATGCGTCTAAATAAATCAGAGTATCGAAATTTATAAAAATATCTAAATTCCTCAAATAGTCAAGTATCGAAAATAATCGATTTATCGATATCTATCAATTGTTCATATTTCACAATCTACCACACTTTCTCAAAGGATATTTCCCTTTGTACATGCCCAACTGCAATCCCAGCAAAGAGCAATCATCAGCACTTGCATATTAACCTTATTATCGATGGGCCTTTTCAATGGTGGAGGTGTTGTTGCTGCTGTCTTGAGTAAATTGTTTACCCGCACTAAATACGCATTCAAATGGCGCGTGTCCCGCTCAATTATTAATCATAGTCTAAGTGGCATGCAATGTACTGCCAAGAGAGAGAGAGAGAGAGAGAGGGTCTAATAAAAAGTATTCTCTTTTCAACAGCAACTGCAGACGCCGCCGCGATGGCACAACAAAAGCAACAGCTACTCGAGCAGGGGCAGGAGCAGCCAGCGGCGCTGAGGGTGTTGAGCACGTGAATGTCTCTGTAAAATGTCCGCTTGCATGACAATCGTAGCGTGCCGGCATTCAGAAAACGCAGCAGAAGAAACAGCAGCAGACGACGCAGCCGAGCGAGGCGTACGTGAAGTGTTTCCCAAGCAGCAGCAGCAGCAGCATCCGCAGTAGGGGCAAGGACACATGCCTCATCATCCCAGTGCAGGCAAGGCTTAGCACCTGCACCCCAGAGGCGCAGACAGCAGCAACGGCACGGCACAACGCATGGAATAAGTAAGTAGAATACGTGTTTGTGTCCCCCCCCCCCCCCTCCCACGCAGGACTGTCAAGTGCATTACTCAAGACAAAAGCAGCGAAAAAATACAAGTGGAAAAGCATGGGCTGCACTCTCTCAATGGGAGATTAAATTACAGATCTTGAAGCAGTAGATCCCCTTTGAGTAGGAAGGGCAGTATCCCTTATCCCTTATCCCTTCGTTAGCTGCCCTTCGAAATCCCTACAATGAATGACCAGTCACCAGACAATGAAAAGGATTCACCCGCCCCACTCACTTCCTTGACATTCACGTAGGCATTCTTGTGCTCATGTTGTCAGGCGGCTCTCCCCGGCCCTCCCCGGCCCTCCCCTGCCAGCCTGACATGTCAGGCATATGCAAAATGCCAACTGTCCCCCATTTCGGCAGGCCCAGCCTTTGTCTCCTCCCCCTCCTCCTCCCAACAAGGGCAAGGACACTACAGCAAGTGCAAACAAGGTGATGCTTCAGCTAGCAAACATCCCAAAAAACAAGGCTGAAGAGAGGCAGAAAAAAAGGCGAAAAAGAATGGATAGAGGGGTTTTTCTTGTCTTTTCTTTCTTTTTTTGGGTGCGTGCCTACCAAATGGCATAGCATGCTCCCCACCCCTTTTTTTGTTGGGCGGGTGGAGGCCCGCCTCGTCAGAAAATATCCTTAAGGCCCACACACCGCACCGCACTTGGCGGGGAATTGGCTGAAGAGGCCAGAGAAGAGTGGTAGAACTGACTGTCTCGCTGTCTGTCCGTGTGAATGATGAAGAGTGCTGCCTGATGGAATTTTCGCTCTTACTTAAATTATGAAGAGCATATTTAATCTAATAAAGTGGCAGGGATTCTGGCTGGGATTTGGGGTGAAAATGGGAGAATTATTAAAAGAAAAAGGCACACAAAAAGCGCCATGCAGACATCGAAGTTGATCGTTTATCGATATATGCAAACCAAAATCGATAAAGAGTGAAAACTTTCTATGGTTTGTGCCATGCAAAAGAGCTCTCATTCGATCAGAAAATCCATTAATGGTTATCGAAATGTTGATATTTATCAAAAAAATTACGTTTATCGAATTATGCGAGTTTTTTACTAAAGTTATCGATTAATATCGATATTTATGGATTTTTTGAACAGTTTGTGGTCAACTATTTCTTGATTAAAACATAAATTTCCACCTCATGAGAAATGGATTATCTGTTTATCGAAATATTCAATTGGCAATCGATAAGCAATAAAACTAAAGAAATCCCAGTGCAAAAATTTCAGATACATTCCCCATTTATCGATACATTCAATCGATAAACAGCGAAAGTAGAAATCTCTCACTGAAAAAATCGCAGAGCGATTATACATTTATCGATACATTCAATTAAAAATCTATAAACAACCAATTTAAAGAGCTCTGAATGCATCAATCGCAGATCACTAAGATTTGTCGATCCATTTATCGATACATTTAATCATAAATCGATAAACAAAAAATTAAAAGAGTTCCTCATGCAGTAATCGATGATATATTCTCCATTTATCGATATATAAATTCAACAATCGATACATAATGAAAGTAAGGAGCTCTCAATGCATGAATCACAGATGGATTCTACAGTTATCGATATACTCAATGAAAAATCGATGAACAATGAAAGTAAAGGTCCCTCAGTGCTTCGAAAAATCATCTCAAAATCGACTATTTCATTCCGTTTTTCTCCATTATCCCCTCGTTGCCTTAAATATGCCCAACTTTTGCCATTTAAGAACTGAATCCATCGGCATCCATGCGAAATCTCATGAATAACTAAAACTATTTGCATGAATTTAAATATGCAAATTTCGTCACCGATAACTTTTGCTGCCTTCAGCCATAAATATTGATTCCAACCATTTTCTTTCTCTCTCTGTCTCCCTCTCTCTTTCCAGTTCAACAACAGCCAGGTTTTTTTGTTGCAAACAAACTTATCGCTGGTTTTAATTAATAATAATACAAAAAAAAAACACGAGAGGAAAGAGCGGAAAAATCTTTACAAAAAACAAGAGTACAGAAAGCGTAAGCGAAAAAACGAGGCCACGCCACAAACAGCAGCTATCTTGTGGTCAATTATACAACGCGAACAGCGAGCAGAGAGCACATAAAAAACCAGTAAAACAACAACAGAAGGAAACGCAAGCAGAGTAATCCAACAGCCATTTTTGACCAATAATAATAATGGTCGTGTTGCTGCATTCGAAGCGACAACTGCCGCCAGCAGCAGCAGCAGCAGCAGCCTCATCGAGGACGAGGAGAAAACTCGAGAGGACAAGGACATGGCCGTCGCTGATGATGACGACGATGCTAGTGCTCTTGAGCGGCAGCAGTCGGGCGGCGGGCAGCAGCTACAGCTACAGCAGCGGCAGCGGCAGTGGCAGTGGCAACCTGAGCGCCCCCCAGCGTGGCACCCTTACGGCAACAAATAATGGAGGACTCGTGTTGATCGGAAGCAGCTCCACTTCCAGCTCGAGTTCCAGTTCCAGTTCCAGTTCCGTGCCCTCATTATCCCTTACTTCATCATCGTCCACCTCTTCCACGAGCAGCAGCAGCAGTGGCAGTGTCAGTGGCAGCAGTTCATCTTCGTCTGGCTCTGGCCCTGGCGCCGGTGCCCCAAACAGTGGCAACAACCGCAGTGGCCGCCTGGCCAGCGGCGGCGGCGGCGGGGGTGCAGCAAGTGGCACGAATCATGATCAATTACCCGCCCAACTCTCCTCACGCATCATTCACACACGCAATGGCGCCATCTCGGGGATAATTGTCCAATTAGATGGCAGGCATTTGGATCCGGTGGAGGCGTACCGCGGCATACCCTACGCCTCGCCCCCCGTCGGCAATTTGCGTTTCATGCCGCCCGTCTCGGCGGCCATGTGGTCGGGTGTCAAAAAGGCGGACAGGTAAGTCGCATCTACATAAGGGTTAACACACCCCCGCCCCCACACCCCATTAACCCTTGGCCTTAGCCGCATAAGGGTCTAGGTTTTTTTTTTGGGTGCGTTGAGGCATTAGAAAATGTAGGTTTATCACGGATAATCGAAAAATTGCTTTAGATTTATTGAAAAATTTAAATTGATCAAACAATTCATTCTTATCGAAATCTATCGAATTATCGACCATTTATCATATTATATATTTTCTCGAATTATAGAATTATCGAAACTTAGCGGAACATAAATATTTATCGAAAATCTATACCAATCAAACCATCAGATTCGATTAAATCCCGTAATATTAATCGAAAAAATTAAATTTATTGGCATTTATCGACACATGGAAATGTATTGAATTATCGACATAGCTGTATGTCGCATTTTAATTATCGAAAAATATCGAAGAGTATCGAAAATATAATATTAGTCATTTCAGTTGAACTATCGAAATCAATACTTATGGAATTATCGAGATTGATCGAAAAAAATTTAATATAGATTTATCGATATTTATAGAATTATAGAAAATGAAAAAATGTATCAAACTTATGGAATAATCAAAAAATATCGAAAATATAAAATGAAAATTTTGATATCGAGTTATCGATACGTATAGAATCATAGAAAACTACAAAATGTATCGAACTTAAGGAATTATCAAAACATATCGAAATATATATTTCAAAAATCGATATGAATCGAACTATCGATATTAATCCAAAAAAATGTTATTTATCGAAAAACAATACCATCCGTCCGATAATTTCCTTGAAGGCTTCCTCCAATTTTGTATAAATTTTCAACCAAAAAACACCAAGAAATGCAAAATATTTGGTCTATTCGGCGGCGCAGGCCATTAGCCAGGCCACGACCTTTGGATAGGTATCCATTTCCTCGAAGGAAAATCCATTTTCCCACCCGCAACAATCAGGGCTAATGACCTTTGGTGTCCCAGGGACAACTTTATTACGCTGACACGCTGAAAAATCTCTTGAACATTACTCAAGCCGTTTTATTGGCTCCCCCCGCCGCCCCCCGCCCACCTTCTGGCCAGGCCAAAATAAGTGAAGATGACGCGGCAGGACAGCCGCCTGTCCATCAGCAAGGAATGCGCGAATCATGGGGCAGGCAGGCGCAGCATCTGCTTTCCGCGGCGCCGCGAGCATTGTTAAACTTGAAAAATTATATTTTATTTGGCTTTTTGTGGGGGCGGGGGAGGGGCTCCTGATTTTCGCGAGGCCCTTTTTCATTAGCCGGTAAAAAGGAACCCTTTTTCTGTGTCCTTTGTCCCGTGGGGGGCATCTTTTCGTGAATAATGATTTGCCACTTGGGAGCATTTGTAAATTAGATGCCGGCTGCCGCTGCCGGTTGCCGACTGCGTAAATATTTAATTTGTGCCATATTTCAAGCGGAAGCCCCGTTTGACCTTTGACTTGTACTTTCTCCTGTTTTTTTGTTGGTATTTTTTTCTGGAAATCATTATCATTATGATGCCATTGTTGTCTGTCGCATTTCAGGGCCCTTGACTCAATAATGAGAAAGTTAATTGAGGTGACACCTGCTTTCTCCAGAGAGAGAGGGAGAAAGCAGAGTAAAAGCAGGGGGTGGGCCAGAGAGTTCTGCTCTCTGATAATTTTATAAGGCTTTTCCAAGCCTTTTAACGCTCTCAGATTGGGATAAGGGTATCCCGGTTATTCCTCAAGGAATCGGAAGGCTGAAAACTTTATTTTTTAGTGAAAAGTTCGCCTCTGGTTTTGTGATTTGTGAAATCGCTTTTTAAGTTGTCTTTTCAAAGGAGTTTTTCGACAAAGGATTGTGTATCCCTTTCTTTGTAGAATTATGGCCAAAAAAAAAGAGCCCACCAGTGGTTTGCCCTTTGAGGGAAACTTTTCCAACGCGCCACAGAAAAACTCGAAAAAACTTTATGCGTGTGGCACACACACTCGGCGCGTACTTGCCACAGCCGCAACAACCGCCGCTGCAACCACTCGGCTGCCTACTACCTTCAGCCTTTCATCGACCTCAGTGCAAAAATAATTTCCCAACCGCAGGAAAAAAATTGTGTCCACACATTTGCGTACATTTCATAGGCCGCCAAGGCCGAGAGGCAGCGGCGGCAGTGGCAGGGCTTTGACAAGCGACGCGTGTCACCGGCAGAGGAGCTCCATGCCTCCTCCTCCTGGCATTCTGGCCTACGACATTCCTCATTCTTTGCCGCAGAACCCCCAAACATTCCTCCATCTTCTCTTCAATGGCACGCACTCTGCTTTCCGTCTCTCTACACAGAGAACATTTCTGCCTCAACGGCTAAGCCACACTGGGAAAAAGCAAGAGCTAGAAGAGAATCAAAAACCCAATACACTTTCTGTTTTCGAATTCCCGTACTTTTGGCTCTTACAATCATAGCCACGCTGCTAATATACCCCCTGGTACCCATTAAAGCCTTTTTGTTGGCGTCTGGATTATGAAAAACAAGCGGATTAGAGGCCACGACACGGCCAGGAGTTGCCGGGCACCCACCTTCTGACCAGGCCACAAAATCTCTAGAGCCGTCTCGGCTTTCGTGCCTCATAAACCAAGTGTAAAAAGCGCCATAAACCGTCAACCGAGGTGCGACGAGAGCGTGGAGCGAGAGTTTTATGCATGACGCCAAAGTTTTAATAAAGAAGAAAAGCGCCAAGTGGAGGAAAACTCAAGTTAACGATTTTCCTAATAAGAAAACAGGAAAATAAAAATAAAAAAATAAAAGCGCATTAATGAAAAGACCTTCAAAAAATGTGCGTGCAACAAGGCAGCACTTGAGGAGTGGCTGCAAGCGGCAGGAGGCGGAGGACATCCTTCATTTTGGAGCAGAAGGAGGCAGAGGGCATCCTCCATTTTGGAGCAGAAGGAGGCGGAGGGCATCCCTTTTTTACAGCAGAAGAAGGCAGGCGGCCCACTAGCTCCTGTGGCAAGTGGCAAGTGGCAGGTAGATTGCTGATGCTGCCTCTCTGCTGCCATCATTAAAAACGTTAATTCCAATTTGAGACTCGAGGGCCTGGCAGTGCGGGCAGACCGCAGAGGGCGCCTAAAAGGTGGCAACGAGGTGGGGGCTGTGGCAAGTACGCATAAATTGCCTGAGACGCTGCTGCTGCTGCTGTTGCTGCTTCGACAAACTGTTGCCCCGCGCTTTTTAAATGAAATTGCGAAAATTCATTTTAAATTGGATTTTATTTAATTTGAAATTGCGGCCAAGAAGCAAAAGCTTTACGGGGGGGGTGTGGCATGGTGTGGCATGGTGGTGTTTCTGCCACCAATCTAATTTGTGTGTGTGCCGCAGACAGAGAGGGTGAAAGAGAGAGAGAGAGAGAGAGGGAGGACATTGCCCACAGGTAAAATTAATCTATTTTGCTTCACGGTGGCCCCAATGTCGCGTATAATTTTATGGCTGCCACTCTGCCCCTCCCCCCCCCGGTGGCAGCTTCGGCTGGACAACCATTGAAGTCTCTGGGATGCGTGTACTTTTCTGCTTGGCTGAGATTATGCTTTTGTTTGATGTGTTGTCCTTGGCCCATGCCCCATGCCCCATGCCCCATGCCTCGTTCCACTGAATGCAGATTAGCCTTGGCTTCCACTCCGAAATGTACACAAAATTCGGACCAACATCGTTTGGCGTTTACGTTTTGTTTGGTGAATTCCTAAATTGCATGTATTCCGCTCCCCTCCTCCCCTCTTCCCTCCTCTCCCCGACGCTTATGAGATGTGTATGTGGCAGGACCTTGTTTGCCTGTGACCGCTTGCTGAAGCAGAAGGACTTTCGGTCAGGGTCACACAAATTGTTTGCCCACCCAAAGCCCCACAGATATCTGTTTTGTGGCAAATGATCAGGCAAACAGCAGCACAGCAGATGCCACCGGACGGGGCAGGAGCAGGGGCAGTGGCAGGACCTGCCAGAATGGTAAATATTCGACACAACTTCAATCTGAATGATTTCCTCTTTGAATTTTTAATGAAACTACAAAAATCCATCCATATTTTTGCATTTTCTTTGCTGCTAAGCTGCAGTGGGGAAGAGAGGGAGAGGGGGGGAGTAAAAGAGAGGAGCATGTAGTGAAAAATGAAACAATAGATGCCATTCCTTTTATTAACAGACGAAAAATAGCATAATTTACTGCTAAGCCACACTGGGAGAGAGAAGAGAGAGAAAATGTGCGGGATGGAGGGAAAAAAGAGATGGTGAAAAATAGAGCGATATAAATATTCCTTCTCTATCATTTATTTTCGAATAATCCCAAAAATATCTCAAAAACGAGTGCTAAGCCACACTGGGAGAGAGAAAATGTGGGCGATGGAGGAAAAGAAAAAAATATGCCTATAGAAACATTCCGCCTCCGCTTGAAGAGGGTAGAGAGAGCATACGATGATTTAGTTTCAGTTGCTATCAGAAATACTTAGACTGCAAAATTTCGCTTATTTTCAGGCGTTTCCAACGTCTGATCTGACCAAAACCCCCTCGAGGAGCTTTCCATCAAAAAACTACTCCCCTCTCTTCCATCCTCCCTCCGTCCCTCTCTCTCTTTCGATAATGAAACGCCAAAAACTAGTAAAAACTTTTCCCCGACCAACAGAAACTGTACTAAAACACATCGGAATGACTCTTTTCGCCTTGAAATTGGCTTCCAGGGATCTTCCGCAGCCATTCATTCGATGATTATTCGCCTGCTCCTGGCCCCCATAAAACGAACGCCAGTAATTATCAAGTTTTTTAGTGTCTGGCCATTTGGGCCACCCCTCCCGGAACCCCCGCAACCCCCAATGACCTTAATTGCCATTTGCACCTACCTCCCCTGCCCCCACACCTGTCTCTCATTCACCATTCCCCATGCGGTGTTATCTGGAAAAGTTCAGCGGTTGCAAAGTGGCATAAACAAGATCACTTGAGAAGTGTACACACAATTCGTGTGGCTCCCGGCAGAGCACATTAAAAATGTGCAAAATGTGATTTTTATGGCGCCGAAACAGGCAACAGGCCACAGCAGAGGTGGCATGAAACCAGAGATACACACATTCAGGGGCAGGCAGGGATTCAGAGACATCACCTGACTCTCCCTCTCCCCCTCTCTCTGTCTCTCTCTGGCATAAAAACTTTTTACTTTCATTATTTTTAATATTTTCTCTGTGCGATACTGTCACCCATTTTCCGCGCTAGAGAGAGAGAGGGAGAGAGCGCGCGAGAGAGAGAGGGAAAAAATATACTTATAGCCCGAGAGCCCCCGAAAATGAAACTTTTATTACCTGCCTTATTGTTTAGCCATTAAATTAATGATTATTATGGCAATATCGCAACGGGGCACTATGGTCCGAACGACCACTTTTGTTGGCCAAAATTAATAACTCCCGAACGGAACAAGATTTTTTCATTTAGTTTTTTGTATTGGATATATATAATCAATAAGAAATGGATTTAAGAAAAAAAATGGGTGTGGCACCGCCCCTTTTTTTAATAATGCATATTTAAATTTATAGTTATAGTGAAAAAAAGTATTAAGCATATTTTATTTAAGAAAACGGCGTTGCACGACTAAAAAAAATTTTGATTTAAATAAAAATAAAATAAAATAAAAAGGTTTCCGTAAATTATTGCCGAAATCCTTGTCTAGAAGCAAGGTTAACGCCTCGTTAAGTGAGATATGTGCCGGCTTTCCGACTGGGTCCTGTACAGCCTTACGAACTTAGTTAGCATATTTGGACATAAAGATAAATGTATTGAAACGAAAATATGTGGATTGGCCACAACCACATATTTTCGTTCAAACATCTTTGAATTTTACCGGCATTTGTTCCGGTATGTTGCCAAACGGTAACAAATTTTCTTGCTGGTATCTTCAAAAGCTTTATTAATTTCATATGATATGTCGCCTTAAGATCCGTTTTCAAATAATTGATAATTTTACCCTTCTCTGAATTCCATTCGGCAAACAAATCTGCATTTTCGAATTTGAGGTTATGCTCTATTAATGCAAATTCCAAGAATTGTGGTAAAAAGTGGCATATCTAACTATATACATTTCAAAAAGAATTTATTAATCTACGACACAGAAAAGGTTTCAGGGTGGGACTAGGTAGGACTCACTTTGTACACCTTTTCAAAAATTAGTTTTCATTACAAGTTGGCACATGTTGAAGGCCTCACTTTAACCTTCAATTACGAAGACATCACAACTACTAGAGACAGTTAAAAACTCAAAACACGTAGTAAGAACCCGACAGATTAAGATTCATAAAAAAAATTTAATCACGTCTTGGCGTTTTTCAATTTTTGAGATATCTAAAGTGGTTATTAATTTGCCACTTTTTCCCTTCACGTGCTTTACTATAAAAACAGTTGGGTTGCACAGCTGATTTTGCGAATGTGGCGCCATCTATGGAAATTTCTGGTACGCAGATTTAATGGTCGATCTTTTTCTAATGCAGAGCGATCAAAACCAGGTTTCAGTTTTGACTTTGAAAAATTAGGTTTTGGCCAACAAAAGTGGTCGTTCGGACCATAGTGCGGGGCCACCGCGACGACCACAAGCGTCTATAAAAAAGGGGATGATTGGGGAGGGGCCATTGGGTGGATAAGCCACACTGTAAAAGAGCGCAAAATCCTCTTGGCAAAAAACAAAGAAAAACAGCAAAGGGCCACAGCCAAAAATTACACTTGAAGGAAATTAAATAAAATAAATTCTCATTTTCATTTTCGCCATGTCATTAATGTTAATGCATTTTCCGCTTTTCGCGGCAGATAGGAAAAAGGCGAACAGATTTTCCATTGCCATTGATTTTCGCTTTATGACAGCCTCCCTGGGAGAGAGGGGGGAGAGAGTGAGAGGTGGAGAGAGCCCTTCAGAGCCAGCAGTTAATGGGTTAAGGCCCGCAATTTAATGGCAAAGAAATCTGGGGATAGAGAGCCACAAAATCTGGCAATCAAGCACCAAATTTCAAAAAGAAACTCCACAGAAATTCCTGCTTTGCGAAGGACCATCCCACATAGATCATATTAAAAACAAATAATAACAAGGCCAGGCCGGGACTTCCCTTCCCCCCCAGAAGGAGGGGCAATGCTTGGAGGCTTCTCCTGGACATTGCATTTTGGGGATTGAAAGCAGAGGGAAACATCAGCAAAATTGCACACAAAATGCACACAGAAAAGGATAGAGGCAGAGCAAAGGGAGGGAAGGAGAGGGAAAGAGGGAGAGGAACCAAACCAAATCGAAAACCAATCGAAAATAAGCTTCGAAAAAGGGCGGAACACACCCAGCAAAAAAAAGAAGGAAAACCAAAAAGAAAACAAATTAAAACGCAAACATTTTTTTTTTTTTTTGCTTTTGTTCCTAAATCAAAAAGTTCTTATGGCCAAAAGACAATCACAAAAGTTGACGTTAGTCGTTGACCCGTACTCTCCGGAGTTTCCCCGGTATTTTCCTCCCCTCTTTGCACTCTTTTTCTTGACTCGAGAAAATACTCCAAAAAGATTACACAATTTGAAGCAAATTAATCTATCTATAACGACATTCGAGGCCGGGCATAAAAATAAGCCTATTTAACGAAAAAGTTTCTCCGAGGGTAAGACCTTTTTGAAACAACAAGCAAAAGTATTACACTGCGAAAAATGTACCATAAATATGGAGAAATGGTGCCCTAGAAATGTGAAAATATTATTAAGGCAGCTAAGCCACACTGGGAGAGGGGTAGAAGACGACACTGGGAGAAAGATTCACAAAAAGAGAGAAGAAAATTATTTTTTACTTATTTATTTTGTATATATTTTTTTAGATTTATTTTGTATTAATTTTTTATTTATTTTTTAATTACTTTTTAATTTGTATTTATTTTATATTTATTTTTGTTTTTAATTTACTTTTTAATTTGTATTTATTTTTTATTTATTTATTTTTTTATTTTAATTTATTTTATAATTTTTATTTATTTTTTATTTATTACATAAATTTTTATTTATTTATTTTGTATGCATTTTTTATTTATTTTGTATGCATTTTTTATTTATTTTGTATTATTTAATCTTTAGAAAAGTACTAAGAGCATCACTGGAAGAGAGAAAGGAAAGAAAAAATTAAAACAAAAAAAAATAATACAAATATTTTTAAACATTCAAAATGATTTTTGTATGGCTATCTCTAGATTACTGCTAAGCCACACTGGGAAAGAAAGAGGAAAAATAATAAAAATTAAATGCATTCATCGAATTTATCAAATAAATATCGTCCAAAGTTCTTCTAGAACCAAATTGTCCCTCCTTAAAAACTTTCTTTGGAAATCCATAGACTGCTTTCACAATTTCTCTATTTTCTCTTTTTGTATATTACAGATTCAGTCCCGTTTGCCCGCAACGTCTGCCGGACATCCACAACGAGACGGCAACGCTGGAACGAATGCCCAAGGGACGTCTGGAGTATCTGAAGCGTTTGCTGCCGTATCTGCAGAATCAATCAGAGGATTGTCTTTATCTAAATATTTATGTGCCCATACAAGGTGAGTGAACGGACGAACGCCCAAGTATCCTATAATTTTTCGGCCTCCTGGGCCTCTCCCTCCCTCTCTTTCGCCCTAAAACCAAGAAAAATGACAGCACAAGAGTCTTGTTTATTTAGCACTTTGCCAGGCATTTGAATAAATTGGCAGACGCTGCCAGACAGTGGCAGTGGGGGAGGGGGGCTAACGCGTTTCCATTTTTCGTTGGCTTTTCTCCACGTTAATCCCTCGGGCCAAGCGCCAGAGCGAAAAAGGGTCATCTAAGGGCCGAAGTTTTTTAAAAATTTCGCTTGGGTTTTCACTTTTTTTCTTTCCCTTTCTGCTTTCCCTTCTGCTGGAACAAATGCTTTGTCATTTTTCAAATTTCACACTCACACACAGAGTAAAAAGGGCATTTGCTTAGCTGCAAAGAAGGTCCTGTGGAGGGATTCATAATGCAAATTGGCTAAAAAAAAACAAGAAATGTATGTCTGGGTTTTTGCTGGTGTGAATCCCCAAGCATTTGCCACTTTTTGAGGCAGATTATTTGGGTTGTAAAAAAATAAACAAACATCATCTTTACTGCTAAGCCACACTGGGAGAGAGAGCAAGAAGGATAATGATACAAAGAGAGTGTTCAAAATGTTGTTAATTTTCAAAGATAAATAGAGAAAAATAAGGCAGAAAATGCTTGAGAAATTCTGCAACAAATTAACATTTTTTTATAGTTTTAATACATTTAAATGTTTAATTTTAAAACATTTTCTTTATGGTTTTAGTACATTTAAATTTTAGTTTTAATTAACATTTAATACAAAAATTTAAAAATAAAAAATATTGAAATAAATTATAAAAATATGAATTTTTGGGACTCCTAAATTATTTTCTGTATTACTTCACTGAACAAAAAACCGTAATAATTATATAAAATATTGCCTTAAAAATTTTTAATTTAAATAAAATTTCAGATTTAAATATACAATTTTTAACAGTACCCTGTAGGAAATTCGTGTGTTAAATTCTGCTAAAAAATCGCAACCATTTTCAATGAATATTTCCCCACCACTTGCAAACAATTTCCAAATTGCCAAACTCTTGAGAGCTACTGCCCCCAGGGCGGCCCTTTGATTTCTGAAGAGTGGTGCGTTTTAGAGTTCTTAAAAAAACGGGTTAAAAAGGGTCGAAAAATCAGTCAAAGTCCAGTTGCCTGCCACCAATTTATATAGAAAAATGCAGTTCAATCATGGATCCAAATGCCTCTGTCCAGCCGTCAGTCATTCAATCCTTCAATCCGTGTGTCCGACAGTCAATTCCAGCAGCCGCTCGGCCGCTGGAAAATGTGCAACGGGGCTGGCTCTCCCTCCCTCCCTGCCTCCCTCTTTCTCTTTCGTTCGACATGGAAGTAAATTACATTTTAATTAAAACTCGAAACTAGGGAATGAGGAGCGGAAAACGCGTTTACTGTTAATGGAAACCCATCAGGAGCAGTCGCTCTCCCGCTCTCCCACTCTCCGCTGCTGCCGCTGCCGCTGTGCCACCTGTCAGAAAAGCAGAAGAAAAACTACTGCGCTGAGGCGAATCGAAAGTAAATTTAATTGTCTATCAGCGAGCGTTAAGAGCCGCATTTTGATGGCCAGCCATAGCCAGTTTCCAGCCACAGAAGCAACCGTCCATCAGTCTGTCCATCAGTCCATCAGTCTGTCTGTCCGTCACTCAGTCTATCAATCCATCGGTTTGTTAGTCCCTCATTCGGTCTGTGTTTTCAGTCCCTTTTGCTCGGCAAGACACTCGTCCCTCAGTTGGCTTGACTTCTCCGCTGGCTTTCAATTAACTTGCAGCAGGCCAGTGCGTATACGTAATATACACTTGAATTATCATTCACTCTGTGGCTACTTTGGTAATTAAGTGTCCTTTTGGTCAATTTGAAACTCGGGAAAATATACAAAAATAATCAGAAGAAAAAACATCTTCAAGCCGCACTTACCTTTTAGAATTTTCTTTAGATTTTGAATTAATTCTTGAAGCACTTTTTCAAACCATTTAGGGACCTCAGATTGTTCTTTGTTGTCCTCCAATTAGATACATTTCCATTGGCTGTCATCTGTGCCTGAAAAATATGAAAAATGAATGAAAATCAGGCTTGAAAGTCGAAGCAAATATACCCTTTAAGTGCAGAGAAAAATAAGGAATATATGGACTCATTCATTGATCTATAGGCCACGTATTCGTACAATTTTCTATATAATTTGTAGTATTTTTTTATATATATATATATATATTTCTAAGCCTATTTTCAGGCCCATTTTGCACTCCAAATATCCGATCTTTCAGTGTTTTTTTGGCTCTCAAAAAAAGGGACATACTCCCCTATATATCGATGCATTGCCACCCCCTCTTCTGGCCTCTTTAGGGCATACAAAAATACCTATAAAAGGGACTTAAAATGTTACCTGCAATTTGTCTTTCGATGGCAGATGCCCCGAAAATATTAAGGTGCCTCTCCCCAAAAAAGAAGCCACAACTTTTGCTGAAATTGCAAGAGTTTTCATCTTTTTTTGTATTCTCGAAAAGAAATTATGATAAATTGTTTTGAGCATAAAACTTGAGATACTCCAAGGTCCCAAATTGAATTGAAGATTGGGCCAGAGATACATATATAAGTATATATGTATCTTTATCCTCAAGGGCGTCTGGGGCGGTGGCTAATTGAACGAGCAATTTGTGGGTCGAGCGAAAGGGAAAATTAAATGTCTGGTTTTGATAATTGGATAAGCAGCCTCCAGAAAGAACGCAGCAGAAAGGAGCTCTGTCCTTGAAGTCCTTGAACATTTCATAATAAATCTTTTGGCAAAGGAAAAACCCCAAAAAAATATGTAAATTTTTGACAGTTTAAGTTAATGAGCCACTGTCGGACAGGGACCCAAAAAGAAACAAAAAACAAAAAAAAAGAGAAATGCAATAAATCATTATTTATTCGAAGGGAATTGCCAGATAAGCGGCCTAGAGATGTACCTCAGGAATCCCTGAAGGCCAGCCCAGGCGAAGGTGTATTCCCGCCTCTCCCTCCGCCTCCCTTCTCCTAATGAAAGGCTCTATCTTTACACACACACATAAATCTCGTGCGCCTTTTGTGTAGCCTACTTTTTGGGGCAACTGCCAGAGGATTGGCCGGACATGCCGGCTATAGTTTAATCTACTTGGACATGACAATAAAATTTATATCATCTTTAGCTCCGAATGAAGTCCTTTCTTGGCTTTCCCGCCTGCCCCTGGCCTTCGTTTTATTTTATTTCATTTTTCAGCCTCTTTCGTTGGCATTTCTTTCAAGTCCCTGGACCTCGAAACACACAAATGCCACATTAAGCATGATTTGCCGCTTTTCAGGGGGCCACGACCATTCCCCTCCCCCTCCTCCGCCCCCTCCCCCAGGTCCGTTCTGCCCAGTCGTGTGTAGATCTCAAGTTTCTGTCTATCGGCCATGTTTGAATGCCGGCCATATTTTGTGCTTAACTGACTTTTGCTGTTGTCTGGCCCCCGAAATGAGAAACGACTCGCAATCCAAGGATTTCGGTGGGTGCAAAATGAATGCCATAATTTCTAATCTTTGGGCATTTCCATGTGATTAACTTCCTTGAGCGTCACTTAATGGGGCATTATGAGAGGGAGATTATAAGATGGCCATTCATTCAGTCAGTCATTCGTTCAGTCATTGTCTGGCCATTGACCAATTGATAAATTTACACTGCCTGACCTTCGACACAAACACTAGAGCGCTCTATGAATATACCCTGTGTCCCCTTTACTGGGGCATCAGGCATCTCTAGACTCTACAAAAGACCCTCTCCCCAGTCCTTGGACCACCATGGACACCCTCTTCCACGGAAAGGACACACCTGGTAGAAGAGGGAGCCTGGCTCCTCGATTGCTTACACAACTCTTTCATTCATGAAATTTCGCAATTTCCAAAATTTTCCGCCACCCCAAAAATACATTATTAATGAGGTTTTGGGCGGCAGGGGAATTGATGTGCCGCTTTCAACACGCAGCTGCCCCCCACACAAAAAAAAAAAAAAAAAAAAACAAAAGCGGAAACGGAAATCGATTCCAGAGAGCTGACATGGCGCGTGTTGCTGGTCACACACGGAAATGGAGTTTTCTTCGCCAGTTTTTCCACCTCTCCCACATTCTCTCCCACCCTCTCTCTCCTGCAAGAGTTATGTATATGAATTGCTAAAAATAACATCACGGAACCGAAGCCACAGCCAAAAATTAACACAGAAAACGAAACGAAAAATAGCAAAAGAAAATTGTGCAACAAAAAGCAAAGCAGGAAAAGAAAATCAAGGAAACTTTCTAGGGGGGTGTGTGGCGGGGGGTGAAAACTTTTCCCCAAATGCATTTGTCGTCTGTTTTGTTTTGGGGCAACAATTCCAAGACGTTCCTTGCTCGACGAAAATTACATTTATTATTTCCCCCGCATTTGCATAGGGGGAAATCCTTAAGCATTCATGGGATTCAATGTCAATGGCCCCTCCGAACAGCCCCTCCCTTTGCATTCATCTTCCAGCCATTCATAAACAAGCCTAAAACTTTTTAGTCTAAGCCACTAATTAAAAAAGCAATTTAAATGCAAACTAAATGAATTTCAAATGAAAGCCACAGGGGGCCGAAAAAATTCATAATTTTTTGGCCTAGATATCAGATTTCCATTTAGAGATATTTTGGGCACTAATCTTTTTTGAAGCTTTGATAAGAATCTAGAGCAGAGACCCTCCAGGCCCCTCCCTTTTCCCACATTTTACCATCTGCAGATCCCTTCTGCTTTTGAAGCCCTTCCCCTTTCGTTCCCTTCGTTTTTTTCTTCTAGTTTAAACTCCTATTCCAATCACTTTCCAATTAGTTATGGTCTTAGAGCCCACTTTTTCTTTCCATCTTTGTTGCTGCACAAATCATATCCCATTAAGGGCTTTTCCATACATCAAATCCCTCCATTCTTTTCACTCTTTCGTCCCCCCGCTCGT